CAACAACAATATCAACTGTAATAAGTTGTGTAGCTGCTTTTGTGGGCATAATTGCCCTCATTTTATGACCTAGGGAAGTCTAAAGGAATAAGTTATGCTTTATTAATCTTAAACCTTTGTAGCAGTGTTTCTCTTTAGTGTTAGTATTTTCTGTAGTATCATTTCCTTTTTCTTGCTTGAAAAGAAATTCTTAACCGTTCGTCTGCAATATTTTTCTTTCCCCCCCTTTTTCTTGTTATTCTCTTTTTTTATTTTTACATTGTCTTAGTCTGTAGTTCTAGTTATTAAATAGTTATTCATTTCTTTTTATCCTTCTACATGTTTTCAGTACTTTTTTTCTCTCTCCCAAGCAAACAAGGCTTCTTCTTTTACTGTCTGTCAGGGGTTAAATTGTGTCCTCCAAATTTTATGTTGTAAATCCTAATTTCTATGCTTGTGGTAATAATTCCATTTGGGAATGAGTTGTCTCTGTTGGGTTAATGAGACAGGTTAATGCCTGGTGTGTTTTATGTCTGTGTCTTGTAAGATCTAGGCAGTCCCTAAGATACAGACTTCCCACTAACTGATGACTTCTACTTGCCCTTTAAGAATATGTAAATTTACCATCACTTTGAAACCATCCAACCTATCCTCATTGCAACAAATTTTTCCTCACAATAACCTTCACTTGCATGTGCTGTTTTCAAGTCATTGAATAGACTTCCTGCCTTTTCTTGCACTAAACTAAACCTAAATAAGAAAAATAAACACCTGTTATGACTTAACTACAAATTCTACTTAAAGATATATTTAGAAACCGATTTTGCTCATAATCAAATCTGCATAAAAGAGACTAAACAGGCAAGTAAAAGAAGCAAGATGGGGAATGCACATGCCAACCTACATGCAGATCGCGAATGTGAAAGGAGCTTTCTCTAGAGCTGACACAGAGAAAGCCTTCCTGTAGAGCCAGCACCCTAAACTGTGAGGAAATACAATTGTTTGTTAAAGCCAACAACTTGTGATATTTCTTTTGTAACAGCACTAAATAACTAAGATAGCATTTGGTGCTAGAAGAATGGGATTTGATTCTAATAGATATCTAAACTGTGGATACATGTTTTGTGTGATATAGTAGGATAACCACAAGTTTGATACAGTAGGATAACCTCAAGTTTGGTGGTTCAAACCACCAGCCACTCTACAGATAGATACCTTATACAAGGACTCAGCGGCACTTAACAACAACAATGGTAAAAGTCAAAATTGCCGTGATGAGACTGTTGGTAGAATTATGGAGATCAACAGCAATTCTGGTGAGGGCTCAGAAGGAAGAGGAGAGCTATAAAGAAATTCTCTATTGTTTTAGAGAATACATATAGCACCAACAACATAATGTTGGTAGAAATGTGCTTCTGCTGAGACTGAAAGAAAAATAAAATATGGACTTGTGATTGGACAATAACTTGTCTGAATTATGTTCAAAATGTTCGGTGGAAAGTAGAACTTGTAACTGATGAACTTTGGATAGCTTGCTGAGGAGATGGCAGCAGACAACTTCTCTCAGTAATCCAAATGTCCTAGTCTTGTTCCAAAAAATCCTTCAAAAAAAGTCCAATCAAAACACTGGCTTCCAAGGGTATCTGCCGGGTCAGTTCAAGGCAGAGAAATCAGCTCAAAAGATTACGGTATCTGTTTTTGGTGGTCTGAAGGTGTAATCTTCATATATTGTCTTAAAGGACACGGGACTGTCATGGGGGCTTATTATGAAGTTTTAAGAAAATTGAAAACTGCATTGGTGAGGAAAAGGCCAGAAAAGTTGTGTCCAGGAAGTTTTCTTTCCCATCACGATGATGCTTCTGCTCATTCTTTGAGTATAACAAGGACTGTCCTACTAATATTTTGTTAGGATATATTATTCAATCTACCTTACAGCTCTGATCTTGCCCCATCATTTTTTGTTATTGTTGTTCCTCAAACCCATAGAACATTTACAAGGAGCACAATTGGAGGCCCTTGAAGGTGCTATAACTTCCATTTTGACTTCATGTAAACTGAAGAGTGCAGAATTCTTCCAGGAAGGGCTAGAGGAATGGAAACCAAGCATTTAGAGGTAGATAGACCTACATGGAGGATATGTCAAGAACAATAGGTTCACATTTTGATTTGTTGTTATTTAAAAATGTGTCTACGATTTCACAGCAATACTTTTTTGACTCAATCTTCGAATATTTGTAGTCTAGATTTTACATATTCCCAAATGAAGAGGAATTTTGTCCCAGGATGGAATATACCTAGCATCTTACCCATATTGATTTAGATGATTTGGAAGATAAGATTTTAGACTTGGAACTGATTTAAGACTTTTGAGATAATGTGATAGAATGAATGAATTTTGCAAGTAAAAGAATATGGGGGGTGGCAAATGTGGAATGTTATGGATTGAACTCATAAACCTTAGCCTCAATGCCTGGGATTATGATTTTATTTGACAATAGATGGCCTTTGTTAAGATAATTAGACAAGATTGGTGGGAGGTTTGTTTTAAATCTTTCTCTTATAAAAGAGATATAAAAGATATTAAACTTTCAAGGGAAAGAAGAGTTAGCAGGAGACACTTGAAGATCACCTAGGAGCCAAAGAATAAGAAACTTCCCTCAGAGTTGACAGAGAAAGCTTTCCCTTAGAACTGGCACCCTGAATTTGGACTTCTTGGCCCTTAAAGTATGAAAAAGTAAAATTAAGTTTGTTAAAGCTATCCACTCATGTTACTTCTATTGTAGCAGCTCTAGGTAACTACGCCACTGTACCATGTTGTTTCTCACTTAGTACATTCATAATTTATTTGTCCTTGTAACATATTTGAGTAATTGATGACTGAGTCAGTATTTGTGAAAGGAGAACTTAAGAGTTTGGTAATTAGAATTTTCTGGGGGCACCGGTTCTGAAATAAAAAGGCAAACTGAAGTGTATTCAGAGGAAGGCAACTGAAATGAGAAGAAATTATATTACAAAGAAGAAGAAGTACTGGATATATTTTAAGAAGTGTCCAATAAGGATTCTGGTATCTATATTTGCTATGTGAAGTACAGACAGAGCATTGAGCCTCCCGGTGCCTGGAATGAGCAAGAAGCTTGCTTGTGGGATGTCTCCAGGTACTTATTTGGGAAAGCTAGCTTTGCTGACTCATGGAGCTAAAACTTAGTGCCAACAAATGGAGGATTATATTGGAGTGGAGTTCCTTTGGGCATGTATCAGTAGCCCTGAAAAAGCTTTGTAAAATTGCCTGAGCAGGATACAGGCAAGGCTCAGAGCCAAGTGCCAGAGAGAGACCTGCCTGTGGACACAGCTGAGAAGAGGCTGTCCTGACTGGAAGAACTGTGCCCTGAGCATTTCTGGTGACTTTCCTAATAAACTTTAGGATCTTGAGTCTGGTCAGAGCTCTGTGTGGCCATTGTAATGAACCCAGCAGAGAAGTAGAGAATGTTGTGGGATGGAGAATTGATGTCAGAAATGATAAAGAAGGAAAGAGGGTAGAGAGGCATGTCTGACCTCAGCTTTCTTAGGAATTGGCCTTGGGTTGATTCTCTTCCCATCTGGCGAAGTAAAAAGAGGTCAGATGCTGCCTCCACACACCCTGTTTATGGTTGGTAAAAAATGCTGTTATCATTATTCATTACTTCTTACTATCATCATTACTCTCCTTATTATATTGATTTTAAATGTCACTAAGAGGAGTATAGATAAATAGATTTATCTTAAGCGGTGATATCTTAAGGTTTATCAGCAGGTATGTTTCTAAATTACTGTTCCAAAATAACTTTCCTAATGGAAACATTTCGTCAGAGTAGTTATGTATGAATAAACCCAGCCTCAAGTAATTGCTTTAGTATAATATGTGCATGGAAAGTTACATTTTATAGCATAAAATGAATGACATCAGTGTATTACCAATTAATTAGAGAAAATATGCAGGTTGGCCTTTTCTTTCGTGTCTACCTTTTAGCTGTTATTGTTTCATATGAGTATTTTTTAATACTGACTTTATTAATAGATGATTTTTGAGAAGACATAAATCTTGTAAACTCCTTAGACTTCTGAGGTTTAGGTACATAAATATTAATATTTTGCTCTTTATAGTGTTTGCCATTTTCTAATCAATCAACTGACCTACTTAGAACATCTTTACTAACAGATATAATATGGTAGTCCCCAACTTATGATGAGAGTCTGTTGTGTCTAGTCCATTACAAGTAAGTTCTTGTAACAAGACATAGTCTAATTAAGTCAAATACTTTTTGAGGTTTATTATTGCATTTTATTATCAGTGGTAGTGATGGTTTGCCGTGGAGTTGGTTCTGACTCACAGCAAACCTGTATAGGGTTTCCAAGACTGTAAATCTTTATAGGAGCAGAAAACCTTGTCTTTCTCCCACAGAACAGCTGGTAATTTCAAACTGCTGACCTTGCAGTTAGCAGTCTGACTCATAACCACGACACTACCATAGCTCCTTTTTTTTCATTTCAGTACCTTTGTATATATATATGCAGTCTTTGCACATCTGTGAGTAAACATTTCATAATGATAACACCGGCAAATGATGTGCTGCAGCACTGTATGCACTACATATTACTAATGATAAAAGATACAAAACATAGGTCATTGTAGCTCCACTGCTTTTTAAGTTGAGGACTATCTGTATTTAATGAAACTTCAGAGTCATTCATTCAAAGTGTGAAGGATACATGGTAAAGGGAAACTCAGAATCATAGAATTATAGATGCTAAGAGAAGAAAAAAAAATCTTCTTCTGTAGTCACCCAAGGGTGCTATGGTTTCAGATGGATCCCAATCCAGGCATTCATGTGCTTGACTGTGTCTTGTGCAAGGGCTATTTTCACAAGACACATATAGGAAGATGACAACTATTCATTTTTCCTTAACAGTTATTTTAATGTGTTAAAAATAAATTATTTTCAAACAACATAGACAATTGATATCCCTCTCTCTTCCTCAAATAGGTTATGTGGGTATGCAATTTATGTCGAAAGCAACAAGAAATCTTAACCAAATCTGGGGCGTGGTTCTTCGGAAGTGGCCCTCAGCAGCCAAGTCAAGACGGAACCCTAAGTGATACAGCTACTGGTGCCGGTTCTGAGGTACCAAGAGAAAAGAAAGCACGACTCCAAGAGCGGTCGCGGTCTCAGACACCCCTGAGCACAGCAGCTGCCTTCTGCCAGGATTCTGTTCCCTCCAGTGCACAGCCAGACAGGAGCAAAGGGACTGAGTCCTCACAGCAAGCTTTGGGGCCTGAACAGAAACAGGCTTCATCCAGGTCTAGAAGTGAACCTCCAAGAGAGAGGTAATAGTCTATTAACTCCATACGCAAAAGGCAAGGTCTGGTTTTGATAGCAAGTTTATTTTTAAGAATTAAACATCTATTGAGAATTTAACTTCTATTAAGAAGACAAAAACAGGCCTGAGGTGCTTTGTCTACCTTTAGACTGTGTCTTTCTTTGGGAGATCTTTGTTGAAAAGCTTTTCTTTGGTGTTAGTGGTTGTGTGCCATCATGTCACTTCCTTCTCATAATGACCCTGTGTAGGTTTTCTGAGGCTGTAAATCATTATGGGAGCTGAAAGCCTCATCTTTCTTCCATGGAGCAGCTGGTAGATTCGAATTGGTGACCTTGAGGTTAACAGTCCAGCTAGTAATCCACTAAGCTACCAGTGCATCTAACGCACAGGTGTAAATATAAGCTAAATCATCCAATTGAATTACTAACCTCCAACCTTGAATTCAGATCAGCTCTCAGATTACTTATTCATTTATAGAAATAGTTCTTTACTGTAAAGTGTACTTTGAGAGAAGATGGAGAAACCTAATCTATTAGAGGGAATGTTGAGGTTGTCAGAGAAGTTGTGTTTGGAGAACACTTGTTTTATGCTGAACTAAGGGTGACTAGAAATTAACCAGGCAAGGATTGTTATTTTGCTCCAGGTCTTTGCACAGGCAGGTAGCCTGAAGGGTCAAGGACTATGCAGCACCTGAAGTGCATGTAACAGAGGGGATGAGTGCAAAGAGAGGTGATTGATGAGATCATCATGGGCCAGGTCACATGAGATCTTTTCTTAGGTTAGAATTTACAGATTTTATTCTAGGAAAAATGGAAAGCCACTGAAGATTTTAAGCATGGGGTCAATAACATGGTCAGGTAATTTAATTGAAAGACTGATCCGTTTGAAAAAAAAAATGGTTGTATTGGTCAATGATATTAACAAAGAGGACACAGACCTTGTATTCATGAAGTTCATAGTTTAGGAACCATAGTTCTGCAGACAAGATAGGAAAGAGCATTTCAGGAAGGGACAATGAGCATACATCTGTTATATGGAGAGCAGATAATAAGGAGACTTGAAATCTACTTCAGTGGATATAGAACTGAAAGCATTTGGCAACAAACTGTTGTGGATGAAGAAGAGACAAAAATATTGAAGGGGTAAGTTTGGGACTGGTAATTAGATGATCACTTAGAAGGAAAAATATAGAACTATGAAGGTTTCAAAAAGAAATCAGACCTCTTTTATTTTTTTACATATGGTAAAAACCTACCCAAAGAAAAGAACACAAAAAGATGAGGACTGAGAAGACTTTTTTTCTTTTTACATTTTAGATGAAATGAGAAATACTGTTGGGGCAAATATCTGTATTGATTATATAAGTCATGAAGAAATCCCTGAGGACATTGTATAGAGAAGTATAAGAAAACGGTTGTTGAGGCTAAGGAACTGGGCATCTCCAGAGAGGAACAAGATGGAAAGAATGGCAGTTTTTTTGTTCTAAGTTAACGGAGAATACTTAGTAATATTTCTTTACAGTGAGCTGGAGCTAGTGGAAATGGAACAATTAAAGGTAGAGATGAGAAAAGTCATAGTCAGTGAAGTGAAAAATCAGAGGAGACTTGAGAACTCCCAGTTTCATAATACTCTGCCCTTTTATAAAACATTTTTAATGATGGTGTCTTTAATCCTCACATGACTCTGCAAGATAAGCATTATTTATCAGCAACTTAGGAAAAGTAACTTCTGATTTATGTTTAAAAGTTTAACAAGAGCAACTATGTTTTTATGAGCTACAAAATGCCTTACAATATTACACTTATTAATGAAAACTATAATGATTAAAATTATACCTCCTTACACTGTAAATTTTCAGTGCAATCCATGCAATTCTTCTCAGGTACAGATCCTTCTGATTTCAAAGAATAGATGTGATCTAAATGATTTATGCAGAATTTTCTATGCTTCTGTTTATCTTTTCCCACTGCATTTAAAACATTTTACCCTTTCTCTCCTACAACACAAGCCCTTCCTCAAACTGACCCCACTACATTTTCTTAGCAGCTGATTAGCTCATAATAGAATTGTTTCACCTTTACCCAACTTGCATTTTTCTCTTGACTTTGGTTAAAGATATCTGCCTTTGGACTTCCACTCAAACTATTTCCCCTCTGATGAACCTATTCTATGGATCCCAGAAAAAGAAAGCCTAAGGTTGCATAACCAGTACTTAACCAACGCATCTGTCTACGCTTTGCAACTTCTGGTATAGTTGCTGGAACTTTTCAGACTCGGGTGCACTCCAGTGTACAAAAAAGGGTTGAAAGGGAAATTGAATGATGGACCTACCTATTGATCTTTGTCAGTGCCTTTAATAGGATGGAAAGAATACATAAAACAAAAGTATTTTCTTCTGGTGGACTATATTCTGAAGTATGGCGTGTGTCTGGGGGTGGGGGTGGGGTGTGGAATGAAGGGAGAGAAGAGAATGAATAGCTGTTTTGAAAATCCAAACACTTATTTGTGCCTGAGGAAGTTAACGCAAATCTGAGCTTCAGACTTCTTTTTCCTTCTAAAAAGTGTTTAGGTACGGATGACCTAGTGAAAAATTTCTTCTATTGAAGAAAACTTAGTTTTCTGACATTAACGAATTTGTATACTCACATTTAAGAATGAGATAACTAATGAAAGATTGCCAATATGTATTGATTGTCCAAGGAAGTGATAATGTTTTTCTGCACTTTTATTATTATCTGTATTATTTTCATGCCTTTGATTCTCAAGTAGAGGTTTCCATAAAATTTTATTTTTGGGAATAATTTGTTGATGGTTTGTATTGACTTGGTTAATTTACAGATAGTGTTTAAATGTAAAAACAAGCTTTTGAAGCCCCTGGGTATATTGTTATGCAAAACAGCCATATTTAGGAAGACAATCAGACATACATTATTTAATTACAAATTAATGTAATTTTTTGTCATCTAGCTTTTTAATTCGACATCCAGTTACAACTAATTATTTGACAGGATTTAAATCTGGAATTTGGAAAAGGAATGGTTATTAAGTCTCGTCTTCACTTTTATCTTTTTAAATTGCTCTCTTTATAGAAGTGCCTTTTTATGTCTTAGGAAGAAGACATCTGGGCTTCCTGAGCAGAATGGCAAAGGCGCCCTAAAGGGCGAGAGGAAACGTGTGCCAAAGTCTTCAGTGCAGACCAGGGAGGGCGGCGCGGAAGAAAGGGAGCGGAAAGAAAGGAGGGAAAACCGAAGGCTAGAGAAAGGGCGGTCTCAGGACTACCCCGATGTGCCCGAAAAACGTGTGGAGGGCAAAGCGCCGGATGATGAAAAGCAAAGGAAAGAAGAGGAATATCAGACCAGATACCGCAGCGACCCGAACCTGGCGCGATACCCGGTGAAACCACCGCCAGAGGAGCAGCAGATGCGCATGCACGCCCGGGTGTCCCGCGCGAGGCACGAGCGGCGACACAGCGACGTGTCGCTCCCGCATACCGAGGCAGGCACTGCGCTGCCAGAGAGCAAGCCCGGCAAACGCGCGCCGGCTGCCACCAGGGCCTCGCCGCCCGACTCGCCGCGGGCCTACTCGGTGGAGAGGACTGCGGAGCCCAGAGCGCCGGGCACCAAGCAGCTAACAAACCACAGCCCACCTGCCCCCAGGCATGGGCTCATCCCCGCAGAAGCCCCGGAGCCCAAAGCCCAGGAGCCCCTCAGGAAGCAGAGCCGCCTGGATCCCAGCTCGGCAGTGCTCATTCGAAAAGCCAAGCGAGAGAAAGTGGAGACCATGCTGCGGAATGACTCGCTAAGCTCAGACCAGTCGGAATCAGTACGGCCGTCCCCGCCCAAGCCGCACCGGCCCAAGAGGGGCGGCAAGAAGCGGCAGATGTCGGTGAGCAGCTCGGAGGAGGAGGGCGTGTCGACGCCAGAGTACACCAGCTGCGAGGACGTGGAGCTGGAGAGCGAGAGCGTTAGCGAGAAAGGTAAAGGGGGCGGCGCCAGGCCCGCGGGGGACGTCTGCGACCTTGCAGGCGTGCTAGGTGTCCAAGTGCCCCTGCAAGTGCTTTACCACCCCCATCACTGGGAGCAGGTGTCATTTATTATTGATTTGGTGGGAGGGGGCCAGAAGGATACTGTGATCCATGGTGGTGAAAAGACAAGCTCCAAGTATGGGTTACAAGAGTCCTTCATGATATTGCTTTCTGTTGTTCTGGAAATTCAGTATGTAATTTTGTGTTTTTTAAGTTAGTGTTTTTGAATACAGTTATCTGATTGAAAGAAAAAAAATGTTTTACCTAGAAAATCCAATAAAAAGACATAGTTTTTTGTTTGTTTGTTTGTTTTAGCGGTTTAGGGTCCCTATGAGTTGGGATCCACTCAAAGGCAATGGGTTTGGTATACTATTCCAGCTGAAGAGTTAGTATTTTTCAAATGAATCATCCTCACAATTTGTGAAGAAATTGTTCTTAAAGTGCCATCGAGTCAGTTCTAACTCATAACGACTCTGTATACGGTTTCCAAGGAGCGATGTTTGGATTTGAACCGGCGACCTTGTGGTTAGCTGTTCAGTGCTTATCTTACAGTGCCACATCAGGATTTAACAAAAATTTTATCATATATTTGTTATATATAGACAGTATCAGTGGTTTTCTAACCCAAAGGTTGGTGATTTGAATCCATCGATGGCCTCTGCTGAAGAACGGCCTGAAGACGGCTTCCATTAGGATGAAAACAAACAAAAACCAACCCTTTTGCCACCCAGTTGATCTGGACTCATAAAGACTATAGAGCAGTTATTTTCTGTAACACATGGGATCTCCATGAGCCTGGGCCAACTTAGCTACTGCTAAAAACCACAACATATTATGTGGTGGTGGTGGTGGTGATGTGCTGCGGAGTCAGTTCCGACTCATAGTGACCTTGTATAGACTTTCCGAGGCTGTAAATCTCTACTGAAGCACAAAGCCTCATCTTTTACAGACTGCTGACCTTATGGTTAGTAGCCCAACTCGTAACCACTAAGCTACCAGAGCTCCTTCCGGAACAGCTGGTAGCTTCGAACTGCTGACCGAGAAATTGGCAGCCCGATTCGTAACCACTAGGCTACCAGACGTCCTATAACACACACACACACACACACACTCTCTCTCTCTCTCTGGAGTCCTAGTGTGGTGCTGTAGGATAAGCACTGGGCTGCAAGGTCTTCGGAAACCCTATACAGGGTCGCTATGAGTTGCAATCAACTCGACAGCGCTTAACAATAACAACATAGTGTGTTTGAGGTAGTAATTTTGGGCATGAAATTATTTTACTTATATTTTTAGTTTGGGGAGCATTGTGGGGTGAGTGTACAAATAGCACAATAGGCTTTTTAAAAATATATGCTATCTAAACTTGCCATATACAGTAAGGTAGCCATTAGCTGCAACAAACCACATAACTATTTGTTATTGTTAAGTGCCACTGAATCATTCAGACTCATAGCAACACTATATAGGGTTTCTCAGACTTAAATTCTCGCTGGAGGTGAAAGTCTCATCTTTCTACTATGAGTAGCTGGCAGACCCAACCTGTGGACATTGTGATTCACAGTCCAGTGATTATTGAGCATAGCTATTGGACTTAATTAAAATTAAGTACAATCAAGAACAAAATTCTTCAAAAGCTCAAGAGCCATCATCATTGAAAGTTCTATTAGATAACTCCTGCGTAGAAGATGCTTCAATTTAATATAAAAATTATGTGTCTATTTGAAGATTTCCCTCATTTTGCAGCTTCTCACTCAATATATAAATTGGCAATTTGCCTAAAGTTGATGGTGGTAGTCATTCTTGGTTGGGGGAGAGTTGAGGGAAGTTTGTTACATGTCTCTTCCAGAAGAATTTGCTGGGAGTCTTTTTGCCATCTTTGACTTGTTTTGTAATTGCTAAACTATGTAAAAAGCCACTTTGCTTCCCCATCTTCTGTCTCCAAAGTACTTGGGTTTGCACATACTTATTCTCCCTACTTTTTTTTTAGTCTATGTACAATCATGCACCACACAATGTCCACTAAGGCAAGTTTCTACTGCATCTAGGTCTGCAGTCCCATAAGATATAATAAAGTTCAGAACTTCCAGTTGAAAAATGGAACATAGCAAATGCAACATGTATCTCCTATCTCTCATATACAAAGTGGTTGTGCTGCCAAGCATATAACCTAAAACAACCATTGATAGTCCCAGTGACACCTATGTTACTGGCTTCTGTATGTGCAGTACTGTACTTTATACCTAAAATAGTTTACTATACAACAGTGCTTCAACTCAGCATTCAATTCTGTGTATAGCACGACTCTTCAGTGCTGTTGCGTTGTGTAATTTTCTTGTGAAAATATTATCTTGAAGTGTATCATGACTCCCAAACTTAGGAAAACTAGTCTTAGTAATAACAGCAGCAGGAGCCAAAGGAGAAGTTTTATGAAAAAAGCAGCACTATACTACTCTGTAAAAGAGGAAGACCCCCAACAAGATGGATTGGCCAAGTGGCAGCATCGATGGACTCAAGCGTGGCAACAGTAGTGAGGTTGGCCCAGGATCGGGCAGTGTTTCGTTCTGCTGTGCATGAGTAGCTACCGACTCCATGGCACCTAACAACAACAATAACAACAATATACTATTTTGTGATGTCATACGATGTCCAAATCATATAATGTCTTATTTCACAGATTGAATGGTGGATATTTTGGGGGAATATGTTGGCTCCATAGTATAAACACTGGACTATGAACTACAAGGTTGTTGCGGACCGTGTAAGGCTGGTCAGAGGTTCGAGGCCCTATAGGCCCCCAGTGTAACAAATGAGGCCACTGGCAGTTAATGGCAAATTGTTTTTTATCTTAATATTGTTACATGTATTAATTTAATACACGGAGCTCTTAATAATCCACAGATAAATGTGATATTTTCCTAAAGCCTAAGACTAAAGGTTGCAAGGTCAAGCCTTTCTCCAAAAGGATTAACTAAAAATATCTTAGCTACTTCTCGGTTCTTTGTTCTATAGACAAAGAACCCATCCTCCCTAATCCTTTTCCAGGTGCAGCCCATTCAGTCCTCTTGAAAACCTGGCTCAGTGAAACAGCGGGACTCTGCCCAAGCTTTTGTCCTTAACTCTCACCTTCCCCCAACTGAGCTCAAGGGCTATAGATATGTTAATTGGGCCTGAAAAACCAAGTTGCTGGCCTGGGATTCGAACCAGCGAAGTACGATGTAAAGTTACCTGAATGTCTGGAAAAGTACTGATGTTAGCTGTACCTTGCCTAAGTCCCTCCCAGCTTGGTGTGAAGCTCCTCCCCTAAATAAAACAGAGGCCCGGGCCTCCCCAGGTGTGCATTATGGGTTAGAAGGCATGCAGTAAAGATTGCAGTGCATTATGGGTTGGAAGGCATGCAGTAAAGATGGCAGGGCAGTGAGTTGCTGCCTGCAGAGGCCACGATGCCTGTACTCCCAAGCCTGCCCACCAGTGATGTATCCACCCTGGCTTTGGGGTGCCTCATTGTCTCTTTCTGTGTATTCTTGATATATTGTTACCACCGTCAGGTATCTCCTCCTCGTGAACCGAACCCCTATGTCGAGGCAGGTCCCCGACACAAGGTCAGTGGTTTGAATTCACCAGCTGATCCTCAAGAGAGAGATGAAGTTTTTGCTCCCACAAAGATTTACAGCCTTGGAAATCCTATGTACAGTATTGGTATGAGTCAGTACCAACTCAACAGCACTTAACAATAGTGATTGATAGTGGACATAAAGTGACACATGCCTGTATATAAGTATATACATACCAAACCCACTGCGATCAAGTCAATTACAATTCATAATGACCCTGTATAGGGTATATTGTTGTTGTTAAGTGCCATCGAGTTGGTTCTGACTCATACCGACCCTGTATGTACAGAGTTCCCAAGGTTCTCAGTCCAGTGCTGATCCTATAGCACCACACTCTAGGAGTTCTAATATTATACTCCTTTGTATTAGCCCAGGTACCACTGGGATACGAACCCAAGATCTCTTGTTTACTAGACTGGTGCTTTAACCAGCTAAGCCATGAGGCTGTAAATCTTTATAGGAGCAGAAAGCCTCATCTTTCTCCTTTGGAGTGGCTAGTGGGTTTGAACTGCTGACCATGTGTTTAGCAGTTCAGTGTTTATCCTACAGCGCAACCGGGGCTCATGTTCCCCAAATACAATCCTATGCATACGAACATTTAAGAGAGCTCTTTTCTGGCATTATTATTTCTGAAAATCATCTTGAAGTAGTTGTTTTGGGATGTATACCAGTTCATTTGACTCTCTCTGTTGACCTGATGACTTATGTCTATACATTGCTCATTTTCTCTGGGTTTTTAAAAGGTTAGGTAGCGAGTGGACTTTCTTGACCACCTTTCATGACTAGCAGTGTTTGTTGTCATTGTTGTTAAGTGCTGTTGAGTTGATTCCGACATATAGCTACCTTGAATAGGGTTTCCGAAGAGCAGCTGGTAGGCTTGAACTGCTGACCTATTGTTTAGCAATCCATTGCTGATCCTACAGCACCATACCAGAACTCCAGTAGTGTTTGGTGAGCACATGTATTTTTCCTCTAAATTAATAAAATGTTAAGTTAAAATGTGTTAGTGAAGAATACTGAATATAACATGGACTACCTGAAGAACAAATAAATTTGTTTTAGAATAAATAAAACCAGAATGCACCATAGAAATGAGGATGATGAAACTCATATTGCTTACTGTGGACATGTCATCAGGAAAGACCAATCCCTAAGAAGGACATCTTGTTTGGTAAAGTGGAGTGTCAGCAAAAATGAGAGGCACCCATTGATATAGGAGCAATAGCAATGGACTAGAGCCTGTCTAACAAAACTCATGAAAATGGTGCAGAACCAGGCAGCATCTGGTTCTGTTATACATGAGATCACCCTCAGTCAGATTTGACGTAGCATCAACTAACA